GAAGATGACCCCAGTGAAGAGATAGATGGCCCCCATTCAATCTTCTAAAACAATCTGCCCGAGGTAGATCAGAAGACACAAACTTCCCTCCGTACGGGTCCGTCCCACTTAAGCCTGCCCTTCCTCCTGAGCCCTCCACTGTTCACTCATTCTGCAGACACATGCTTTCAACACTGCCTGGGACTGTGCCGGTACAGGGATGCAGCTGTGAGGGAAAGCAGCGCTGGCCTTTGTCCTCCTGTGACACATGCCTCAAAGGCAAGATGAGGAGAAAACCAGTAAACAGATATTCCCATATATGATGGCACCTCTGAAGCCCTCTCATGGTGCAGATTTGTGGACCTGGAGAGGCAGTCAGGGTGCCCTGCTGAGGTGGTGACATTCTGGGCAACACAAGAGCGACGAGTGTGTCACTAACTGACAGACTTCCAAAGCCCGATTTCTTAGCGCCATCCCCGATTTGTTTTCCACCACTCTTCAAATTTCGTTTCTTTCTGGAGGGCAGAGGTCAAGGTTGGGTAGCCAGACAGTTGGCTCTGGGCGGACCTGTGAGTCCTATAGAGAGAGGCTTTCAGCACCTCGGACAGCGGCTGGGTGATCGGCCCAAAGGATCTTTCCTGTAAAGGGACCCAGCTGATCTGTGCCAGGCTGGGCTACCGTGGGGTCAGGAGCACCAATATCTGCCACCTGTTAATGTCACTCTGCCAGCTGCAGAGAGACCTTGAGCAAGTCGGTTTCCCTCTATGTGCCTCAGTTTCCTGATCTGTGCATTTGTGGTGACATTGACATTACTGGTCTTGAAGGGCCCTTCCAACCCAATGAATCCATTTTGGAATGGTAGATGTGATTTAATTCAATTCAGCAATTACATCCGATCCCCGGATCTTGGTGGCTTACAGAGGGTTCAAGACAGTGATTCCTCACTGAGGGATGGGTGAGATAGGGCTGGAGGAATCCGATGTGAAATATGTTCGTGTTTTGATATCCGGATTTTAAAGGGAAAAGAAATCACATCTTTGGGGACCCTCCTGTGGTCACACACTCCGCTAACCTTGGGAGGTTCCCAGAAAATGGAAACCACAGAACCTGCTACCACCCTGTGAGTGGGGCCTTGGACAAATCTTTTCCCACCCATGGGCCTTGGTTTCTCCATTTGTGAAGAGAGGCTCTCAAACCCAACCCACTTCTAGTGCTTCCAGAACTGTGTTCTTTCCACCTCTGTCTGTGTCTGAGATTGGATAGGGAAGGGCTTCTCTGCAGGGCGCCTGCTGGGCCTGCCGACTCCTTTGTAGCTTTCGTCCATTTGCAGGCTCGGAGAGGTGAAGTTGCTGTCAGAAGCCACACAACTTAAAAAAAAATTCACACAATTTGCACGCAGTGAAGGCTGGGTTTGAACCTTTGGCTGTTAGACCAAAGTACAGTCTCCCCAGCCACCTGCCATCACCTGAGCCTTCACCCAAAAGAGGAGAGTTTGAGCAAAAGCATTTTTCATACTGTACAGAAGCTCAGAGCAGGTAGAGCAGGTGCATCCCAAGCACAGGAATCACTCTCTCCTCTTCCTCCACGGTTTCTTCATTTGTTTAAAAAGAAAGAAAAAAGAGTCAGTTTGGGACCTGCTCTGTGCTGGGCCAGGGGCTGGAATCTCAGGGCTCCAAGATGAAGCAGATGCTGGCCCTGCTCATAAAGATGTCTCCCATCCCCAGGTTCGTTGGGGAGACCCACGCTGACCTGGTTGTTACAACACAAAGTGACGAGTTCAGGGAGAGAGTTATGCAGCCTGCTGAAGGGCACAGGGAAAGGAGTAAAGCCTCCATTTTTCAAATGCTGCCTGCTCTAGGAAGCATTCTACAGGGCCGTGGAATGCTTCCCAGAACAGGCAGCATTTGAAAAAATCAGGGAGTCAACAGCCGGAGAAGAGCAGGGAAGGGCGCTTGTACCCAAGGGATCAGCCTATGCAAAGCCATGGAACAGAATCATGGAACAAAGACACAGGCTGGGAACAGCCTCTCGTGGGCTGAGTGCAGCCTGAGAGATGCTACTTGGCCTGCAGATTGTTGAAAATACATTTGAAACCTTAACCGTCATCATTTAAAAGCCAGGAGGTTTTGTTCTGAGATCCAGGTTTTCAGTTTCTTTGAAAGTTTTGAAGATCCAGCTGGGCGTGGTGGCTCACACCTGTAATTCCAGGGCTTTGGGAGGCTGAGGTGGGAAGATCACCTGAGGTCAGGAGTTCAAGACCAGGCTGTGCAACATAGCAAGACCCCATCTCTACAAAAAATAAATAAATAACTAGCCAGGGATGGCGATGTGCACCTTCAGTCATAGCTACTCAGAAGGCTGAGGCGAGAGGATTGTTTAAACCTAGAGGCTCGAGGCTGCAGTGAGCCATGATGACGCCGCTGCACTCCATCTTGGGTGACAGAGTGAGACCCCGTCTCAAAAGAAAACAGTTTAGGAAGATCTGAGCCCACATTCTCCATGGTAACAATTGGCACTGTCTCTGACTCACCTCATCCATTTACATTGTCTGCTTGGGCCCACAAGACATTTTGAGCTGAGATTCCTAATCTACAACACAAGGCCCAGGAGAGAAGGGAAATGGGTGGGGGGCCCTGGTGGGCTGCTGGGGCATTCCCCTCTTTACACACACACTGTAAATGACTCTGAGCCCCAAATGCCTCTTGGGTAGCCAGAGAAAGGGAGGAGGGCCCCAGTCCTCAGCATCTTGCCCTCTGCATCCAGGGGACAGAGAGCCTGATTTTAACTCAGGGAAGGACAGGGATTGTGGCCTTTCCTTTTCCTTAAAAAATACACTATCACTTTCTTTCTGTTCTGATGATCTCTCCATGGCTCTGCTTCTCGGCCACTGTACAAGCAGCTGAAATTATGCCTAAATACTCATTTAGAAAAACAATCGTACCTTTCCGTGCACCAAATATTTGCTTCTAGATTAAAAAATAAAACAAACAAACAAACAAACAAAATAACAACCAAAAAAACCAAACACCTCTATCTTGGCAGCCAACACTTCCAAAGTATGCAGTGATTTCCAACTGAGGCCAAAACAAATGTGTTTTTCTGAAGCCAAACGATTCCAAAATGTTTGCAAAATGTTTCCCACTCCTTAATAAATATAGTAAAACTTGCAAAACACTAACACTAAAGAATATTAAAAGCAGAAAGAAAAAAAGTGAAAGCCAAAAAAATTACTCCCCACCCCAGCTATGGACACAACCATCTTCCTCTTTGACTCTTGTCATGAAGCCTTGTTATCAGAAAGACTCTCCTGATAATGAGAGCTGCTTTGAGGATGGAGAAGGAGCAAGGAGCTCTCCATCCCTAGGGCATGCAAGTAGGAGCTTAGCTTCACTAGGAATTCCAACCTCAATGGGCTTAAGAGCCTGTCTCACCCTAAAGTATGACAAGTATGTCTGAGAATCAGAATAGGAAAATGAAATTATAGGGAACACATTTTTTTAAATGCTGAAATTTGGAATCAGGAGGAAAGTAATTCAATCCAGCTCCATCATAGCTGTGACTTTTAAAGCATCTGCTAATCTTTACAGAGACTCGGCTCCCTCATCTGTAAAATGGGCAGAACCTACCTCTGGAGCTACACGTGCTCAGGAACTGTTCATTTTCTCCATTCTCCCCTTCACTCCCAGCCCCACTCCACCACACCAGCCCTCTCCCTTAGTTTCCCACCTTCCAGCTCCACCTCCACTGGTCCACAGGGGTGCATACATTCTGGGCTCAGGCATTGCTCCCCTGGGCTTGGGATCTAACGGGGGTGACACTGGCAGAGTGTGAGCTGAGGATGGGTGCTCTGGGATGAGGGAGATGCCTGAGTGCCAGGGGGAGGATGTCAGAGGGGGCTTCCTGGAGAGCCGAAACTCAACCTGGGTCTTGATTTGATTTGGCAGGAGGTACAAGGACATTTTAGGCCACCAAATGAGATGGGAATGGTTCTGGTGCACCAAAAAGACTTTGAAGAGACACTTGAGGGATTACAAGGGAGTGATCTTCCAAGAATTGCTAAAAACACGAAAGAGTGAGAGTGGCAGAGGGGAAGAGCCTTTCCAGCCCTTCCCCTTGTCCGGTCCACTAAGCATGGTAGACAATGGCAGGTGCCCCCTGCTCGGTGCACAGGGAGTTTCTCAGAGTCAGCTTTGGGCACACCCATGTCCACACACACAGTTGCTGCGGTCCAGCGAGGACTTGGGGACCTGGGAGACATCTGCTCTTGTTCCCCCTCTAATATCCCTCCACAACAGCTCCTGAACACATATAAGGCAAATGGGGTGCTCAGGGAGGTCTGCTTGGGGGCAGATGGCAAGGTGGGGAGACAGCTGCAGGATGACAGGATGGTGGTGGATGACGGCTGCATAAGTGTGTGGATTTGCTGAGGGGTGGGTGGTGGAAGGGAAGGATGGAGGGAAAATGGGCGGGCAGATGGTAGGAGTGGGGGCATGGCTTTATGTGAGGTGGGTGAACGTGCCTGCAGGGGGTGCTATCATGGCTGTTGGGTGGGCCTGGGGTGGATATGGGGATGTTTTAGGTGTAGGCAGATGTGTACATGTAAAGGTGTGTTATTGGGTGGTAGGAGGATGGTTGGGTTACTGGGTGGTAGGAGGGTAACCGGCGGAGTGGTGCACCTGTTGGCAGGTGTGAGGTGCATGAGCGGGTTCTGGGTTGGAGAGGGTGTGAGCAGAGTTGTGGATACATTGGAGGCTTGATAAGTGGATGGCAGCAAATATTGGCAGATACATGACTAAGTCATAGGTGTGTTGGTGAACTGGTGGGTGACTGGGTGGCTGACAGGGGAGGGATGGGTGGAGAGCTGGCAGTGTTGGGGCATGGGTTGGTAGACAGATGGAATGATGGGCAGAAGGCCTAGTAAATGAGAGTGAGTGATGGATGTGTGGGTGGGGGGCAGTGGGTAGATAGGGTGTGGGTGGAGGAAGGTGGCTTTCAGCACTGACCGCCTTGTCTCCTGGCAGGACACCAGCCACACATGGCGGATTCCTGGCCCCGGAGCTCCGCACCGGAAGCACCAGAGCTGAACCGACAGTGCTGGGTCTTGGGGCACTGGGTGTGACCAAGACCTCAACCTGGCCCCCGGACCTCAGGCCATCGCTGGCACCAGCCCCTGCTGCAAGACCACCAGAGTGGTGCCCCCAGAACCTTGGCCTGTGTGCCGTGAACTCAGTCAGACTGCGTGGGAGATGCCAGGCCTGTCCTGCCCATCACTGCCTGGGCCCGAGGGCCTTGAAAATGGGGCCAGGGCAGGCCCAAGGGAATGCACAGGGCTGCACAGAATGACTTTGGGACAGCAGCCCCGGACTCTTGCCATCACCACATGAGGAGCCCTGCCGGGCACAGCTGCGATGACAGAAGACACATGGCCACTGGCCACTGAATGACTGGCACCCACAAGCCAGTCAGGTGCCCAGAGGGGCAGAGCCCTGTGGGGGGCAGAGAGTGGCTTCCTGAAGAAGGGGGCAGTGGTGCAGGCACTGCAGCGGTGTCACACAGCAGGCACACAGCAGGGGTTCAATAAATGCTTGTTGAACTTGTTTTCTTGCTGTTTATGGAGGCCAGTTGCTCTCTGGGCTGTGGCTGCCCTGTCATTGCCCCACCCCATGACTCCTCAAGGAGGCTGAAGGTGACAGCAAAGACTGTGCAGAGGCCAGGGCCAGACACTGAAGGATGGCAGGGAGGGAGCGCAGAGCCCAGGCTGGAAACAGGCTGGCAGGGCTGCCTTGGATTCCAGAGAATTGGCAAGGCAGGGGCCAGGCAAGCAAGAGATGTCGGGCAAGCAAGAAATGGGCCCCCAAACCCAAGCCCTAAGCAGAGAGGGTGAAGAAGTCACATTTCTCTTCAGAGCTCAGCGACATCACACCACCCTGACCCTGAGGGGCCTTTACCCTGTGCCTGGCACCACCTTTACAGAAAATCCCAGGGCTTAGATGCCTGGAGAAACAGATTCCTACTATAAAGAGGAGGGAAATTAGGGTCACAGAGATGAAGTCACTTGCCTGAGATTACAGAGCTAGCAAATGGCAGAGGTGGGGTTTGAATCAGGACTCCTGACTCCAAGTTCAGTCATTTCCCAAGAGGCCTTATTCCTTCCCAGAAGAATTTCTAGAGCTTTCCCCCAAGTAGAATACATTCTTCTCCTTTATCCATCCATCCATCCATCCATCCATCCTCCATCATTCGTCCAGCCGTTATCCATTATCCATCCATCCATTCATCATTTGTCCCTCCATCTATCATTCATCCATCTATTATCCACCCATTCATCATCTAATATCCATCCATCCATCATTCATAATTCATCTTTCCACTCATCTATCTGTCATTCATCCATCCTTCCATCCATCCATCCATCATCTATCCATTCATCCATCCATTTGCCATCCATCCACTCATTCATCAGCTATCCATCATCTATCCATCCATCTATCCATCATCCAGCCATTGTTCATTATTCATTCATCCATTTATCATTCATCCCTCCATCATCATTCATCCACCTATTACCCACCCACTCATAATCTATTATCCATCCATTGTTCATCATCCATCCATCATTCATCATCCATCCATCCATCCTTCATCCATCCACCCATCCATCCATCCATCATCTATCCATCTGTTATCTATCCATTCATCCATCCATTCATCACTCACCCACCTATTCATCAGTTATCTATCCATCATCCATCCATCCATCATTCATCCATCCATCTACCATCTATCCATTCATTGTCTATCCTTTCCCCCATCCATTCATCATCCATCCACCCGTTCATTAGCTATTTATCCATTATCC